GGGGGGGGGGGTGTGTGTGTGTGTCGGGGGAGGGTTCTAGCACCACATTGCAGCCAATGTAAACTTACCTCAACTACCAAGTTTCTCTTCCCAAGTACCCAGGATCATGTAGGTTGTCTTGGATGCACTGAGAAATGATGTTTCAATCTATTAGACTTATATTTGCTGCCCAATAATCTTTCATGAAATGAAATAAACATGAATGTTCAATTTCAAAGTGCAAAATCAAAGGAAAAAACATAGAATTCATCTAATCACAACGCCAGATTCCGAAGTAACAAGAAAACCCATGGACTCTCAGTTGATCTGTTGGCATCCAAATACATACAGTTGACATCAAATGTCTCGATCCCTCGACTTTTCCAGAAGCACGAACAGATGGATTTCATGATTATTCGTTCGGCACAAGAAAACCTGGAGCACCCATTCTTTCTTTCACATTTGGATGAGAACCTGAATTGGAAAGAAAAATGCCTTCGTTTACAAGTTCATTTTGCTCTGTAAAAGTATAGCTAGAGAGAGTCCAAGACAATGAAGTGTATAAGCCCGTATTGTCTAAATGAATGAAAAACCACATGTCCTAGAACTAAAAGGAAGCAGATGACCCCAGAGACATGAAATAACTAAGAGCCTATTGCCAAAAAAAATAAATAAATAATACCAACTCTCCAATACAGAAGCAGTAAATCAGAGCAGTAAATAAAGTTCACACTCATCAAAATCATAACTAAGGCTTTAAGTATCTTTTCCAACGGATTAAGCAACTTGTGCAAAGCCTTCATCCTCGTTGGCGCTTCTAAAGNTAGACAATGAAGTGTATAAGCCCGTATTGTCTAAATGAATGAAAAACCACATGTCATAGAACTAAAAGGAAGCAGATGACCCCAGAGACATGAAATAACTAAGAGCCTATTGCCAAAAAAAATAAATAAATAATACCAACTCTCCAATACAGAAGCAGTAAATCAGAGCAGTAAATAAAGTTCACACTCATCAAAATCATAACTAAGGCTTTAAGTATCTTTTCCAACGGATTAAGCAACTTGTGCAAAGCCTTCATCCTCGTTGGCGCTTCTAAAGTAGTAAGTTCCTTAATTTCTGGTTGAAACAGGTTGAAAACATAAATGAAAGTCATCTTTCTGCTATTTGCATAGGAGCTGTTCTTCAAAATGACGCTGTTTTGAACTCAAAATGACATGTTCAAAACGCTGTTGTTTTCAGATATAACACAGGTGCTGTATAGTAGAGGATCCTCACCCCCTTTTTTCTGTGTTTTTTTTGGGCTACTCCAACACCAGAACACCACCACAAAATCCCCTGTTCTAGAACCCCATCAATGCCCCAATTGATCAAACCCAACTCATCTCCTCTGACCACTGTGCTCATTTCCTCTACCCATCTTCCCTCCTATCCCTCTCAACACAGCCTGCTACTCCTCTTTCCCCCACGCTAATAAAATTCTCTCATGGTTATATCTCTTGTGTTTAATTGAGCTTACACATCAATTGTAATGCTGTTTGAAACCATACTCTTATGTTTAATTGAGCTTACACATCAATTGTAATGCTGTTTGAAACCATGTATTAGATTCACCATCCATACCTACCATATGAACCCTACTAGAATATTTATAGACTAAAATTAACCCTACTAGAATATTTATAGACTAACATATGCTTGAATTTTAATATTGTATTTTTGAGTAAAAATACTCAAAAATACAAATGTCCATTAAAATAAATAAAAGCTTACTGGATATTAGCGCCTTTGGTCTGGCCTTGAACAAAATCCGGTGGCGAATGATTCCGATAACCTCCAACTCTACCCTCGATGATTCAGATTCGGTTTTCTCATTTGCACCTAAAAGTTTGATTTTCTTCAATACTAACATGGGTTTCTTCAAGGGCACTTTTGATCCAGTCAATTCATGATAACCAACGGTGAAAGTGTAATTTCCCTGAACAAATTTCAAAAAAAAAAAAGAACTCAAAATCTGCAATTTGGGGCAGGAAACTTTTGGGAAACCTTGGAATGGGAATTAAAACCTGAGAAGAAGATCGGCAAAGTACTCCGATTTCGAGGTTTTGGAGACGATCTTGAACGGCAGGCTGAGCTTCAACTACGCCTTGCAGTTCAACAATTGCCCATTCTGGGCAGTTTCCTTCCCCACAACTACACTTCACCTTGATCTGCATCACTCTCTCTCACGCACACACCTCCACTCAACAAAAACAATTGACAAAAAGCTCTAAATGATCTATAGATAGAACTATTGATAGAGATGAAGGCAAAGAGGGACGTTTGAAGACTAGGGTTTGATGTTAAGCAGGTTGAAACGGAGAGAGAACGGCAGATTGGGGGCTTTGATTTGGCGGCAAATTAGAGCTTGGCGCGAGTCTATTTCTAATTTAAATAGACGAGACAAAACGCAGCTCGTTACCCGGATCACAATTTTGTTTTGATAGAAAATAAAAATTTATGTTAAAAAATCTCAAACTATTTCAAAATTTTTTAAATTTTTTTTAATTATTTAAATTTTAATTCAATTAATAATTCGTTTGAATATCTTTAAAAATAAGGGTTAGTCGCAAATTACATTCAAAAGATCGTTCGAATTTTAATTTGTACCCAAAGAAAAAAAATTTTAATTTGTGCCCTCAAATATATAAATTTTTATCAATACGAACATGAAACTAACAATCATCAGCTTGTTGTTTAAAATTAGTTGGATAAGTTACACTTAAACCATTTCAAGGAGTAATATTCCTATACATTTTCACGTTTGTGCACGTGTAACACATAAATAATTATCATTAGTATTTGTTAATATAATCGTTAAAAACTTGATTTCATTCTAATAAAAAATTATAATTTTTATAATGTCTTTTATTTTTGGGTCCGTTATATTCTAAAGTTCAAAATTAAGTTTATCATTTGAATACTCAATATAATGTAGGTATTTATATAATGTTTATTCAATACAATATATCATTTAAATAGAATTATTTGGATGCCCAATTGGGGTAATATTTTTAGTCATATTTACATTCTCAAGGGATTTAAGTGTAATATTTCAAATGTGAGGGGTCTAAATGACTAAGTGAAAAACATGAAAAAATCTAGGTGTAATTTATCCATTTAGTTTTAGACGAAAAATTGACAGTTATTAATTTTAGGTGCGCATTTATATATATATATATATTTGAAGGTACAAATTGAAATTTTTGATTTTTAAAAGTACAAATTAAAATTCGAACAATCTTTCGAAATGCAATTTGCGATTAACCCTAAAATTAAAAACATTTTAATTTTTTCAAAATAAATTTTTGATATTAGCTCATTTAGCGGTTTAGGTCAAATAAACTTTAGAATAAATTACCCACAAAACACCCTAAACTATAAAAATTACTTTCATGTTGTTATTAAATTGAATATTGTTCAATTTGAGCTCTTCAAATAGGCATAGGTCGAAACAATCCCGACGTTGATGACCTATTTTTGACAAAATCAGGATAGAGATTAGTTGAGGTGCCTATAAGTTAACTGTTGAACCAAAAAATAAATGCTACCATCAATGACAGGTAACTTGAACATGTAATAAAAATGAATGATATGATTCTTTTAGAGAAAAAAATATGTAAAGAATAAAAATTCAAGTTACTGTGTATTTTATTATATAGATATATTATCAGGTTATCAACAGAATGACTACTTTAAAAGGCATACAGTGAAGGCAAGAGAAAAGCAGGAAAATACTTGGCTAAGTGCAAAATGGATATAAAAGCTATCCTTAAACTTGAACGNTTTTATTTTTGGGTCCGTTATATTCTAAAGTTCAAAATTAAGTTTATCATTTGAATACTCAATATAATGTAGGTATTTATATAATGTTTATTCAATACAATATATCATTTAAATAGAATTATTTGGATGCCCAATTGGGGTAATATTTTTAGTCATATTTACATTCTCAAGGGATTTAAGTGTAATATTTCAAATGTGAGGGGTCTAAATGACTAAGTGAAAAACATGAAAAAATCTAGGTGTAATTTATCCATTTAGTTTTAGACGAAAAATTGACAGTTATTAATTTTAGGTGCGCATTTATATATATATATATATTTGAAGGTACAAATTGAAATTTTTGATTTTTAAAAGTACAAATTAAAATTCGAACAATCTTTCGAAATGCAATTTGCGATTAACCCTAAAATTAAAAACATTTTAATTTTTTCAAAATAAATTTTTGATATTAGCTCATTTAGCGGTTTAGGTCAAATAAACTTTAGAATAAATTACCCACAAAACACCCTAAACTATAAAAATTACTTTCATGTTGTTATTAAATTGAATATTGTTCAATTTGAGCTCTTCAAATAGGCATAGGTCGAAACAATCCCGACGTTGATGACCTATTTTTGACAAAATCAGGATAGAGATTAGTTGAGGTGCCTATAAGTTAACTGTTGAACCAAAAAATAAATGCTACCATCAATGACAGGTAACTTGAACATGTAATAAAAATGAATGATATGATTCTTTTAGAGAAAAAAATATGTAAAGAATAAAAATTCAAGTTACTGTGTATTTTATTATATAGATATATTATCAGGTTATCAACAGAATGACTACTTTAAAAGGCATACAGTGAAGGCAAGAGAAAAGCAGGAAAATACTTGGCTAAGTGCAAAATGGATATAAAAGCTATCCTTAAACTTGAACGTGGATGCAATTGGGGACATCAGATGAAAAAAGCATCAGTTCATCAATTGAAATTACAATCGTACAACATCAGTGGACTCAAGCTAACCAGAAACTAATGGAAACTCTCTAGAACAATGTATCCCCATGGAAGATTATTATGATCAGTGACAGTATGTGTCAATACAACGACAAAGAAACGTTCTAAAAACCTGGAAGAATTCTACATGGTTACGGATGAATTCCTACTAGATTGGCTGTTGATCTTTGGTGTTCACCATCAACTGCAAATTTTAAGCTAACATTTCTGGAATGCAGTAACATAGGCGCTAGCTACCGTGCCTGTTGTTTATATAGAGGCCTCTCTGCAGTGTGGAATTGCTGGGGTGAGAGATGGGCTTGGGAGAAGTCATTATGTAAACTAACATTTGGGATTGTTGAGCCATTGCGCCCTTGGGAATTCGATGAGCTGAGCTGCTTCTGGAAGTAATTTTGAAGCTGCAGATTATCGTCTACTGGGATTTCGCCCTTGAGAGTTTTTATGGCAAATTCAATGCATGGGTCTGTCCATGAATCTCCGAAAGGCAGGTCCAAAGAAGATCCTTGATTATCAGGAGGCAAGTCAATATGAATACTTGGATTCTCATCAGCCCGGTTTTCATTCCCTATTGGAATTGCCCCAGTGAGAGTCTTTATCGCAAATTCAATACATGGGTCCACTTCCATCCAGGAATCCGTCAAAGACAAGCCGATAGGCGATCCAGGCTTGTCATCATCGTTATTATCAGTTTCAACCTCTCCAACATGCTCTTTAGGAATAGACGAATTTTCTAGAGGCAAAATAATAGGGCATTTTTGCTTCTCATCAGTCCTATTCTCCTCTACTTCTGCCTTTCTAATATGTTCTTCTGGAGTAGCCAAGTTCTTAACATTCTCAGAGCTACTGGCTTCAGCCTCACCAGACTGTTTATCTGCAACTCGACAAGCTCGACTAGTGGTTCTCAGTTCGGACGTTATACCGACCTTGATCCCAGCAAGTCGTTTCGATGCCCGACAAGGTAAGTCATTTAATTTGCTTATCCCATGTCGCGTCTTTCTACTCAAAAGTCTTTTCACCCCATTTTCTGATGGTTGCTGTTCTGCAGGGGCCGCAACTGCAGAAGCAGATACAGAAGTGCATACAGAAGAATCACTTTTCCCTTTTCCTTGCTCCAAACAATTAGTTTCTGGCAGCTTAACACTGTCCATTGCTGCACCTTTGCTACCTGCAGCATCACAAATTCATTTCACTATAACCTAGCAGTATAATATATAATTACTCCAAATTGCAAAGCTGTACTTGCATCTCTCATCCAACTTTACACTCTACATACAATAAAATGTTGACTACTAGGGCAACTTTTCTATGGGTATGTGTACTGTATGTGTTGCCTCATTATTAATGGAAAACAAGCATTTTCATATCGGTGAGCAGGACTTTTAGTAAAAGAAACTTGCAGAGTTTCCACATTTCGAGCAGTTTCAAATTCCGCATAGTTGAGATTAAAAAAGTAACAAAATAAAAAATGTTTGCACAAATATCCAGCAGAAACCCAGAAAGAAAATGATGAGCAGGTAAAGGAACAAAGTTAGCAATAAGTATACAATATAGTAGTCTGTTGTCAAGTTGCAACTTGAACTTTACACTGATCAGAAGTTTGCTCAGAGAACTGGATGAGATCACCTGTACAGTTGGATTTAAGGATTTGTTCATCCTCCACTGCTACACCCAACTTCAACCTCTGATTCCTCGTAAGTCGTCTATCTGTTACTCTGTCTACTACTTTATGCCCTTCAGCTTCAGGAGTTGACTAGGAAAGGAGCAAAATAGAAGACATAAAATTTCTTACTCTTCATGATCCAATACTTCATTTCAACGGGGTTTTAAATGGCATTGCACAAAATGATGGAAAATTTTATGAAGGCAAGCAAAGCATCGAGTAACATATCACACCCTATCTGACGAATATAACCACAATAAATAACACAATTTTTCTCAATGGGAAATATCAAAGGACATAAAATCTGTCCACTATTGAGTTTGAAAATCAATGCTTTCTCGCTAGAGTCTTGACCTCATGAGCATGTCATATACCATAAATGGTTACCAAAAGATAATTAATGACAAATATGAAATATCCAGATCCAGCCCTAATAGCATTTCACCGATTGAAAACTTGCACCAGATACAATAAAGTCTAGATGCCATACAATTACAATAGTACTGAGCAGACATAGACGATAACACTTCAACATCAGACAGTTACCAAATTCCAACATTGCAGAGCAGGCATAAGAGTTACTAAGTTCCAACATGGTANTGCCGGTAACCAGTCCGGGGACGAATTTTGGTCCGCCATTTCACCGGCAATCTGAGTTTTCCGGTGATCTTTAATGAGAAATTAAGAAGATCTCAGGCGGTTGACGCACCAAAGAGCTTTCCTTTGCTCTAGCTTCTCTCTCTAAGCTCCCTATCTAATTGGAGCATCTATCCATTTCACGCTCTTTCTTGCTTGACTCCATTCTCTCTCTCTCTCTCTAGACTGATTACTGTAAAATAGGATTGTGTATCGGACAAAATGCACCCAAAACCACGTGTTGCCGAACTTTTCCGTCCAGCAATTCGAGGATTGTACAAGGTTGATAATTTTCTTAATCTCCCACTTTGTTCAATTGGAACCATTTTTTTTGGGGAGAATTACACTTACATCCTGTCGTCAAATCCTCAAATGTCGGTTAATTATATTTATTAATAAATTACACCTAATTTTTTTTAAGTTTATAAGCATATATTACTTACACCCTTTCAGTTTAAAATATTATAATTAGACAAAAAATATTTCAATAAAAAATATAATATCAAATATTATAAATTTTATAATCAAGATTCATGTTCTATAGTATCATTTATTGAAATAAAATTAAAAATAAAAAGTCAATTTTTTATTAAAAAATTATAATTAATATACAATTATATTATCTATTGGAATAAAACTAAAAAAATTAAATAAGAGCTCTAAGTCATTTATAATGGAATATGAAATTTTCTATTGTGTTACTTATTTAAATAAAATTTTAATTTTTTTATTAAAAAATCATAATTTATATATAATTATACTATCTATTGGAATAAAATTAAAAAGATCAAACAAAAAGTCAAACTTTAATGGATACAATATATTTTATCTTTAATTAGGGTAATTTGATAGTTTTAACGACCAAATTAAATTCTAATAGATAGTATAATTATACTAATTATGATTTTTTAAGAAAAAAATAAATTTTTATTATTAATTTTATTTCAATAAATGTCATAATAAAATATGAATTTTAGTTGTAAAATTTTATATACTTGATATTTTATCTTTGTTTGATGTATTTTTTGTCTAAGTATAATATTTTAAATTTGAAGGATTTAAGTATTACACACTTACAATTTTTAGGAGATCTGAATGTAATTTATTAACAGATATATTTTTAAACATTGACAATAGGAGTTGAAGTGTTACGTATTTACAAACCTAAGGAGTTTACATGTAATATTTTTAATATCAAGGGATCTAACTAATTAAGTGACAAATATTAGAAGATTTGAGTGTAATTCTATCTTATTTTTATTTTTTTTGTTCAACCATCAATGTGTTGAGTCATTTACTTGTACTTCTGATTAATTTTTTTTTTGTCCAGTCAAAGACAATCATGAAGTTACCAAGAATTAAATTCAACACGTCCATCTTTTTTATTTCTTGCACCATTTTTTTTTATTTTCCATTTTTATTTGAGAAGTTTATAAGTGGAGTTTGGTCAGCCACTAATGACTAGGCTGGTAAAAATAGACAACTTATAATTTGGTCCACTTAATTATGATATTGAGGCTATAGTTATAGAGGGGTTAAAGTCTAATGTGCTCAAGTTTACGCCTATCAATTATGTCAAATGAAATGGATTTTTGTCAGATTTTAGTGGGTTCATATCAAAAAATATTTTATTTATACATGACTCGTTTATTAATTTGTGTTTAACGGGTCGTGTCAGATTAAATTCATGTCGTGTATTAATTATATATAATCAGTATACAAATGAGTCGTGTCGTATATTTTTTTTGATTAATTTTATTCATACCTAATTTTTTTATTACTCGTTTACGAAATGAGCAGCATAAGAAAAATTTTAATCTTCTAATTTTGTGACTTGTTAACAACCTATTCAAACCCAACAAGTACTGTAAAACTTTATTGATTCATTTGGACTTGAGTTCTCTCTCGTACAAATTCGTTTAGATATCTTCTTATCACCATCCTTTATGTCTACATAACGTGTGGGAGAAAAATTTACTCCATTATCATTTTTGGAGGATTTTATTCCTTTAAAAGATCTCAAATAGAGATATGCAGGGACTGGTTTTCTTGTTATGGATTGATTTGAGACCATGATTTGGGTATTCTCTTTATTGCTAATTACCAAATTAGATCACCCAATTCATGTCTTTGTAACCATTTATTTATCTAATATTACAATTGGTAAGTTAAATTTTTAATATGTAGAAGCGTAAAGTTTGATCCAAATCTTCTTCTAATATAATTCAATAATATAAAATTCATTCCCAAATTTATTTTTTTTGCTCAAAAATGTTTTTTTTTTCACAACTCTCGATGCTAGACAATCCCACTAATTTACATTTACACCCTTTTATCCCTCCCTTACATCTCTTATTTTACTTTTGTTCATTTAATTTTAAATTGTCTGATTAAAGATAAAAAGAAAAAAGAAAAATAAATTTTAAATATTGTACAATCAATGTTTGATTTTTAGTATTGCAAAGTGTCTTCAGATACAAAGTTTTTGCTAGTGTGTATATATATAGGGGTGTTCAAATTTTCAATTAGTCGTAATTTCTTACTCGACCCGACCCTATTGAATAGCTAGTCGAAAAAATCGGGTAGAAATCCGTAATAATCATTAATTTTCGTATTCCTATTCTACCCTATCCACATTTATATATATAACCCTAATTCCCTAACAATATGGTTTAAATTTAAAATAATTATTTTTATATTTGTGTAACAATTATAACGGATTGATGTTTATATTTTTTTTTTGTTTTATTATAATTGTTTTAAGTTTTAGTGTTATTGATTTATTATGTTGTTAAATTGATGCATGTTATTTAATTGAATTATTAAAATAATCCACAAATTAATAATTACAAAAATGTTCATTTGATTTCTTACCCGACTTCTAACCCAATTAATTTGGCCGAAACTCGGGTAGGAATACCATATTTGATTGACAAAGTAATGGATAGGAAGACGAAAGACCATATATTTCCTACCNAAATTATTAAAATAATCCACAAATTAATAATTACAAAAATGTTCATTTGATTTCTTACCCGACTTTTAACCCAATTAATTTGGCCGAAACTCGGGTAGGAATACCATATTTGATTGACAAAGTAATGGATAGGAAGACGAAAGACCATATATTTCCTACCCATAGGATAAGGTGAACAACCTATATATATAATTAATGATCATCATTTGGAGGAGAAGAATAAACGCTCGTTCCCTCTTTTGTTTGATTCGTGTAGATTGTTTATGCTCCGTTTGATACGATGAAAAAATGGGAGGATGAAAAGTTGGAAGAATAAATAAAACATCATGTTTGGTAAGGAAGGAAAATAAGAATGATGGAAAAATGGATTAAAAATTAATTATTTGTGTTGAGATGTATTTTATTTGTCTATATATCTTTTTATATATACAATAATTTCATATAAAAATACAATAGTAAAATATGTATATATATATATATATATTTTAANATAATTTCATATAAAAATACAATAGTAAAATATGTATATATATATATATATTTTAAAAAATTTTAAAAATAAAATAAAATAAATAAAAATTAAAATTTTAAATTAAAAAAAATAATTTNATTTTAAAAAAATTTAAAAATAAAATAAAATAAATAAAAATTAAAATTTTAAATTAAAAAAAATAATTTTCCTATTTTAACTAAGGGTGAAAATTTTTGATTCAACACGATGACACGACTCAAACTCGATACAAAAATAAATAGGTCTACTCACAACTCGACACAACAAAATTAGTTAAATGAGTTAAGTTAGATTTGACTAATATTTAACACAAATTCGTAATAACTTAACATGAATTTGACACAACACGACTCGATTGTCACTCCTAATCTTAGCCAGCAAAAAAAAAAATAGTCATTTTTATTTTCTATCCATCCAACCAAACACAAAAGAAGAAAAATGTATCATTCTTACTTTTCATCCTTAAAGGATAGAAAGTGTATCTCTCCTACTTTTCATTTTTTTTACTTTCCATCCTCCCTACCAAACGGAGCACTAGAGTAATATCATACAGAGTTAAAAATTTAACTTGATAATGTGACTATTATATTTATTATTGATTTGACTTTTGATGTTAGGAAGGATTGCCCCATAAATGAACACCAATTCAATGATAGTGATTTATCAAACTAAGTTTTTAAATTTATTTAGCATTTTCTGATTGGAGGCTAAAGTATGTAATTACTAAATGACTTAATATTCGAGGTTTTCCTACTCAATCACATTTCTGCCCAAAATAATCCGACATAAACTCCAAAATAAATAATGGGATCGAATCTTCTAATTGATACATATTAATTGACTACATGTATATAGATTTATACTTTTATATTGTTTTAGATAATAGAAAATCAAATACAATTATAAGATAAATGGTAACTAATTTAGTGTTTATGAATGTTTTGTAATATATAATGTTGTATAGTAGTGAAAACAATCAACATAAGAGATCTAAAATGAATTGCGACCCAAAATTTCATACCACCAAAACCAACCATCATCGTATCACGTACCTAAAAAAGTGTCGTACCACGTACCAAAATGACTTATGATCCAGGTAACATTGGTTCAAACCCAGGAAAGTAAAATATGTGCATGGATTCTTTTATGTTTCTTTTAGGGGCTTGTTTGGTTGTTGTATTGTAAAAGATATGATGTAATTTCATATAAGCGGATAAAGTACAATATTACACGGGAGACAAAAATACAACGTACCAGCTATATTTTTCATATTTTCTCAAGGATTTCAGTGTGGGAGGTGGGATTATGTAAGAAATTCTATGTATTTCTCTGACTATCAAAATCCTGGAAATATAATGAACTTGTGACAAACAATCAGTTGTGAAGTGGGTTTGGTCCAGCAGGGACTAGTCGATGAGAAATGGAGTGCATCTGAT